GGGTGGCTCATCCCCGCTGAGCCTCTCCCTTTGCACCTTTGGAAAGCTCTGTTCCTCCTTTTCTTTCTGTCCCCTACACAGTGTCTTGTGGCCCCGGGGCCGTGTGGCTGGGTGCTCCTTGCGGCGCTGCAGCTGTCTTTTCAGTAGAAAGGAAGCGAAAACAGTGGGGGACACGCCCCCCGGACTGTAGCCGAGAACGCGGCGCCCCTCGCGTTCCAGCTCCTCCTCCACTGTTGTACCGGGCGCCTGGGCTGCCGAGATGGGCTTGCATGCCGGATATTCCCCCTTAATTGATTTAAGAGTAATTAAACATTTGCCGAGATTAAGGGTTCCAGTTTAGGAACAGAGAAGGGGGCTTGTTATCCGGTTATTTTTCGTTCTCGTGTTGGTATTGGCAAACATTTTTCATCATTGTTGTGCGTGCGTACGTGCGTGCTTGTGTGTGTGTGTGTGTGTGTGTGTGTGTGTGTGTGTAGTTTCTTCATATTGTCATTGAATGGGAAGGTGCCTCTCCTGTTTTATTCCGCGCCTATTCATCATCTGCTTGAGTATGGTTCATTAGTTTTAAAAGTCCGAGTTGGAGAATATTGTACTCGGCTATTGTCATTTTTGGAGAACGCTGGGGAAAAAAAAAAAAAAAAAAAACCTTGCCTCTGATTTTTTAAAACTTTATTGAAAATACATAATTATGCCTTGGATGGCACTGGTGACTGGTGAACAATGGGGATTAAGATAGGAGCTGTCTTCTTTTTATTGTAATTGAAATTTTTGTTTTGGGTTGATGATACTTGGAAATGAGTTGGAGAGATGATAGAATAACAGTGACAAATAAGGGAACATTGTTCTCTTTAGCCATTATGCCCTTTCTTAGGCTTTGCTAATTTAGCGTAAGTCCTAGGGACTCCCGAAGTCGCTTGTTTTGTTTTCATCCTTAACTAGTATGTAGTTTAAATAACTCTGTAGTCAAAAAGCGTCATGTTCAACAATGTCGCTTCGTGTTTATTTTGTAGCCAGCTAATCTTTTTGATCATTAGTTACAAATATTGTGTGTGGTCAAATCATTACAGAATGTTTTCAGGGGTAGAGACTGTTTTGGTCGCTGTCGTGTAACATATTCTTCTGTAGACTCACTTTAGTACCTTGTTATTTATAAAGGTTATGTAATTTTTTCTTTCCAAATATTGAAAATATTGCATTGGAGCATTTTTCAAATGAAGGTATTTGACATGCTAATTTAAGTAGGTGTGCAATTTTTATAATTTTCATAAATTACAGATGGAAAACATTATCGTTGAGTAGAAGTAACGAATACTAGCTGGTGTTTACAGAGTTCTTACTGTGTTAGATGCAATTCTAAGCAGTGTACATGTTTTATCTAGACCAGCAGAACTCATGAAGTGAACTGTTAGCTGCATTTTACAAATGAGGCTAGCGTGTTAAGTGATTATACTTAATTTTATTAGTGTTGTTTTACTAAGACAGTGCTTAGTAAAGCAAAATGTCTTACAGTTAACTTGAACAGTTTAGATGTAGAGGATCTTGTCAAAAATGAAGTTAGAGAACATACAAATACCAAGACTGTGTTACAGCCCTTATGCTATAACGTTGATGTCATGTTCATGTCGTGAGAAGTTGATAATAAATATGTATCTCTTCATTATGGGAAAAACTTAGGAAGAAAGTTCATTTGGGCACCTTACTTGATACCAAAGCTACTAAAATCATCCAGTGCTTAATGACAGAATGCTTTATGAAAAATGTCTTAGGCAAGCATGTCACAAACTTTACCTACATTAGCTTAAGTGGAGTAGCCTATTACACACTTAGGTATGTGCTAGATGCTGTTGTATATTGTAATCTGTTGTTGACACAACCATTGTGTGAAGCATGACATGTTCTAGCAGAAAAATTGTTTAATTTTTGTGTTTATACAAACTAAAAACTTAGGATTTATTGGGCCGGTTCTTTTTCCTGTTTTATTCAGCCACGTATCTTTTTGTTGTTGTTGTTGTTCCAGCCATATATTTTTTTAAAAAATAAAGTAAAAAGGCTTCAATGAGCTGGACAGATAACTTGGTGCTCTGTCGCTTGCCTGGCAAGTTCAAGATCCCAAGTTCGATTCCTGGTACTGCATACTGTATGCTGGCCCCAGAACCCTGGGCACACCATGCTGCCCCAAAACTGGGTGTGGTAGCACATACCTGTAATCCCAACACTGGGGGGGGGGGGCGAGACAGGAGGATCACTATGCATAGTGAGACCCTGTATCAACAGCAACAAAAAATGTTTCATTATGTACCCCAGGCTGTCCTTGAAATTGAGAGCCTCCTGCTTCAGCTTCCTGAGTGCTAGAATTATGAGCATGTACTGCCACAGCTAGCTGAAACATATGTATTTTGTCATATTCCACAAACAAAAATTTTGTTACATTGTTTATATGCTGTAACTTTGCAACTAAGTTTAATTCTTTTGGTTTTTTTGCTTCCTTGTTTGTATTATCGGGAATTTGTTTCTTTTTTGAAACAGTCTCACTATAATAGAGTTCAGATTGGCCTTGAGCTCATAATGTAGCCTAGCCTGGCCTCAAACTCACATCCATCCTCCTGCCTCAGCCTCCTGAGTGCTGGGATTACAAGGGTGTACCTCCACACCTGACTTTATTTCCTATTATTAATGCCGGTTAATGCATTTATCACATATAGAAGTACAGAAAACATCTCCTTAAGTAAAATTGTTGTAGTTCCATGAAGAAAATTCTAGAAGAGAGACCATGAGTAAGTAAAATGTGAGCATTAGAATTAGTCTGAAATGTGGTGATTCTTCACTTGGTCTATCCTCTTCTCATCCTAGGAAGAGCCCACTTACTTGTAGAGATGTAATATTTTCAGAATAGTTTTATTGCAGTTGAACAACGTAGCTTGTAGCAGGCTGAATAGAAAAGGAAAAAAGAACTTTAAATATTAAAATAGCATCTACGGCTGAATAAGATTGTAGTTCTAGTATCCTAAAGGTGATAGGCGCAGGGCTGTAGAAAATGGGTTAGGAGTGGATGCCATCCCTTTTGAGATAAATGTATTATTTTGAGATAAATGTATTTATTTGTGATAAATGTATTAACTGGCATTAGTAATAGGAAATAAAGCCAGGTGTGGAGGCACACCCTTGTAATCCCAGCACTCAGGAGACTGAGGCAGGAGGACAGATGTAAGTTTGAGTGTACTAACTCAGCCCTCTTCATAAGAGCTAAATGAACAGTAAAATTTAATGAACTGAAGCACAGAATTTTTCGGTCTTCTGTTTCTGTTGATGAGGAAAAGGGTAGTGAAATAAGCACATGCTGACAGGATATGATGGGTAAAGCCACCGTCCAAGCTGTCCGGGCAGAGGTGAGCTGGGCCCTGATCCTGCGGGCAAGGCTGCTCAAGGTGGTGACCTGGCCCCTGGACTCTTCCTGCCTGAGAGGTTCCTGTGCTCGCCTCCCTTGCTTCAAGGTGCCAGCATATTTCAGAAATAACCTTTGCCATTTATTTATACACGACAAAAGAGAAAACACTTTTTATCTCTTGATAAATGAGAAAATCAGTTTGCCAAAATACCTACTTTAGAGCATGATTAATTGAAAATTCACTGGAAATTCTGAGAAAAATAAAGTGAAGCGTTAATGTAACCATCCTATTTTAGAATTCTGTGATATTTCATTGCCTATCATACTGCTTTGTCTTTTTTGGTGGTACTGGGAATTGAACCCAGGGACTTCACACTGAGCTACAGCACAGCACCATCCCCCTTTTTGTCCTCCTTTTTCCCCTGTAATATATTTGGTTTTTGCAGGGTCTCACTACACAGCTCTGACTCATGGTGATCCTCCTGCTCACCCTCCCCAGCACTGTGATTACAGGTGTGTGCCACTATACCCGGACTCCAGCCAGCTCAGCTCACCCTGAGAGTGGGGCTGGTGTGGCATGTGGTGCCCGGGATCGAACTGCCAACCCTGTGCTTTAGTCCCTGAGCTATCTCGCCATCCCCGCCTTTTTGTCTTTTTGAGACAGGGTCTCACTATGCAGCTCAGGCTGGCCTAAGTGCACTTTGTAGCCCAGGCTGGCCTCGAACTCACAGCGATCCTCTTGTCTCAGCTGCCTGGCTCCCCAGCCCTTTTAATTTTGTTTTATTTTGGGACAAAGTCTCTGCAAGTTACCAAGATGTCCAAATGTCCACAGGTGTGGACCACCAAGCCTGGCTTCCACATCACATATTTTGTATAAAATGGATGAAAAATCTAAAGTTAATAATAATGAGTTAAGAACAGAGGACAAAATTACTGCATCAAGTTTGCATGTGGGTAGTTAGTAGTTTTCAGGTAATTTTTAATCCTGACAAAACATAAGGCTATTCAGTTTTTTAAATTTTTAAACAATCTTTTATTTATGTATTTGGTACATAGTTTGGACTTGTAGTGCTCTTCTTGTTTCAGCCTCCCCCGTGCTGGGATTAAGGCCTACGCTACCACTGCCAGGGTTTCCACCACTCCCTGGGTTTCAGTGGCCGGCATGGCATGTGGGGACTGGGCGTCAAACTCCAGACCAGGCAGGTGCTCAGACCTCCGAGCTATCTCCCCAGCCCAAGGCTATTTGGTTTTGAAGAAGAGAGGGAAGTTACTAGCTAGAAAAGAAAAATGAGTCCATTTCTTTAAATGTATTACGATCTGTAAAAGTAAATGAGAAATGTCCTTTTGATGCCTGTATGAAGTACGTGAAATGTTTTAGAGCAGTGTTAAAGGTGATTGTCACTGAAAATACAAATGTATGTCTTTGTATTGGCACGCGTGCAGTGGGTCAGGCCGGTGGTCAGCTCTGTACTCAAGCTGGTTTTTTTGTACCAGGGATCCAGCTCCGATCCTTGCATTTGCCAGACAGGCATTTAAGCTGCCTGTTGCCCCAGCTATACTCAAGCTTTGTATGCACAGGGAACAAGAGCAAAACGTGGTGACCACTTGCTCATCTTGACCCTAGCCTCAGTTTACCCTGAGTGGCCCCTGAACATGCCCAGGGTTTCCAGGATTCTTACCAGTCGGTTTGAATTAGTTTGTTTTTGGAATGTATTGGTGTTGTCTTTGAGAATCCCATTTGGGATAAGAAATTATGTAAGTTCATTATTTACTACAATTTTAAAAATGAACTAAAATGAACTCCTTCAATCCTAAAGAAACACCCCTTTGTTCTAATGTTTTGTATTATTCAGACCATTTTTGCCTGGCTTGTGTTTTAGACTGATCGCATCTCAGCCTCTAAACCGAGGGTGAACTGTCTCAGTTCTGAAGTAAGCACATCTTTGTCTCTTCAGCGTGTTTTTCTTGCCCTTCAGGGTCAGCCAAATTATTCAATATTTCCACTGCAGTATACTTCCATGTTTTGTAACATGCTTCCGTGTTTAATTAGATGAAGATGCTAGCCTTCTTTAAAAATGTTCTTTCCATTCAAGTCAATTGTTTGAAATTGGGTAAAAGTAATTGTTTTGTTTTGTTTTTGAATGTGCCAAACCTGGCATGGTGGTACACATCTGTAGCTCTGCATTTGGGAGGCTGAGGCAGAAGGATTACCTGGAATTCAAGGCCAGCATGGGATTACATAGTACATTCAAGGCCAGCCTAAACCACATATCGAGACTACCTCAGGAAAAAAAGTATCTCCTTGTCTTTGCCTTTGTTTATTGAAATGTGTCTGTAAAATAGACTTGAGTAGGGATGTGATTTTTCTGTTTGTTTTGGCAAGTAGATCAAAAAAGTAGAATCGTAGCTGTGTGTGTGTGTGTGTGTGTGTGTGTGTGTGTGTGTGTGAAACTATGTGTTTTACAATAAATTTTCCCTCCTTTGCTGTAAGGAAGCCATGGCAATGTAATCTTTTTGCAGCTCTTTACTCTGCAACCTGTGTTTAGTTAGTGTATATTCCCTGAAAGGGTCTCCACTGACAGGAGACTGGTGATACAGAGTTGTTGATTCTCCTCTTAGCAGAATCAGGGTGGCTGAAGATACTCCGTGGTAACTCCTAGGAAGATAATTAAAGGTTGACTATAATCTGAATATCCTTTTAGAGGCATTTCCTAGCCAGAGCAAATTAATCTTTGTTAGGGAAGGTGTTAACTAAATTTACACGTGTATTTGTTTTTATCTGATATTCATGGTATTTTTTCATTTCTTTTTTTTTTTTTTTGTATTTGGGAAGGGTCTACAGGGTGTTCAGGGTCTCACTACTAGATTACAGGCACATGCCACCACGCCCACTCTCAGTTGCCATCTCAGCATACCCTTGTT